CTCAACACGTTCCCCCAACTTGGAATGTATCCGGAGAGACCTACGACTTGCGGAGCTCCATATAAAACTCAATATCTCGGAAACTATTCAAGATTAGTCAATGCCATTTATACCAACAATCCTTCGATATCTACGTAATAACATGTATTTTTTTCAAAATCTTCTTAATATGCCCTCATACTTTGTTATTAACTTTTCAATTTGTTTATTGATTAATTCCTTGCAAATTGAACTTTTTCGTCTCCATTTTTTCCCCCGGAAACTTACACTTGTTTAGAATAAAAAAGTTCTCTTTCACTAATTCGATAAAATTGATATTTATCGAGTTATATATATTTTTTTAATTACTCACTTGGTCCATCCTGAAAATTTTGGTGTTGCATAACTTCCAAATTTTTTTTTTTTTTTATGATATTCTAAGGCATGCTAGGAAACAATCGGAAACATACTCTATTTTTTTCGAAATTTGAAAAAAAATCCCCTGATTCGATCGAAGTAGCATGGAACGCCCCTTGTGCGTTTACAATAATTAATAGGATCTAAATCATTTGAATATTTCACGAGATATAATTAATTTGAATATTATAAATGAATAAGATTGACTAAGATTTTGTAAATGAAACATGGCAGCTTCACCAGGATGTGCTTTGAGCAACTAGGATAACTTAAAAACTCTGACGATGTAACTGAGCCCTTCTGCTTAAGATTTAGAGCCCTTCTGCTCAAAGTATTTTGTTCTTTGTGATTTCGAACATATCTGGTATAATTTGACAGCGACACCCCTTTTCGTTTCCAAAAATGAAATCCTCCAAATATATAGGGAAATTCTTATTGCAGAGGACTTACATCCCAGGTGAGAAACGTCTACCTTAACAATGGAAAGAAGGCTGGTCCAGAATGGAATATCGAGACTGAGTGACCCAGAGTGTAATCAAGCTTGTTTCCATCGTTGATCTATACATTGATCCAAGTTGGAGCCGTCCATGTTCCTTCAAGCCTTATTCCAAAGTTGAAACAATCTTGTTCTTCAAGGCTAGAAGATCCAGGACGGAATGACACTTTATTCCATTGTCGAACCCAAAATTGATTCAAGCATAAACGTCAATGATCCATCGAGCCTTGTTCCACCCTCGTTCCAATTTCAATTTATTCAATAACAAATAAAAAGATAGGAAATTGTTTGACTAAATATATTCTCTTCTGTAAAGATGGATATCATGTCATATATTGGTAATCATTTATCTCAGGCTGGAAAAAGAAATTGAAAAGAAGGAACCAGAAGGAACAAACAAAAAAATGGAAACAAGAGGGGAATCACATTCACAGAGAAAAAATAAGCAGTTGATCGCTCCTATATTGCAGAAGGCATGTGACTGTTACTTTATGTGGTATTGGTATTTTAATTTTTTATGTCTACCAATTCCATTGGTAGTAAACTTCCGAATGGATCAATAGCAATTCCCTTTTTCAATTTACAGGAGAAACTATTTTCTCACGTCACATTCCTATCCCAATTTTTCCTCAAGTTATTGTGCGAACAAAGAATTTAGGGAACACCAAAAATGTAAAATCGCTTATACGAAGTTGATTAATTGAAATGAATTTCCAAAACTTTGTATAAACGGGTACATATATTTTCATTGACCTAGATAGTTGACGTTGAGACGAGTATTTTGAATTTTAATGAAAAAACAGAAAAAGGAGAATATGTCGACCACTTTGTATGAACAAGTATAGATTATTTGATTGATCTAGGTAGAGGACATCAAGATGAATATTTTGAAAAAAAAGTGGAATCGTTTGCGAAGTTTTGAAGATATTTAACATAATAGATTTTCAGAAAAAGTTGAATATCTCCGAAATTTCTGGTGCGATTGAGCCCATCTTCAATATGATCGTTTGTTATCACAGGAGGAAGATTCTGTCCAAATTTTAAGTTGATATCTTGATTTTTGCACACGATAGCGCGCGTACAAGGATTTTAATGACAAAAACAGAAAAGGCGAAATATCTTAAAAACTGTGTATGGACGAGTATATATGTTTTTGTTCTTTGTTGATCTAGGGAGAGGACATCGAGATGAATATTTTGAAAGAAAAAAAATCTAAATCGGTCCAATAATTTCAAAGATATTCGTGAAAAACGATTTAAAAACGAATCGCTTTATCTCAAAAATCACTTGACCGATCGGGCTGAAATTGTGCACAGAGTTAGTCCTCATTAAGACCTATAATCTGACAAAATTTCACCTTTTTTGAATTATTTTAGCCACTTAATTACTCAATTTTCTAAAAATTGACCGTCGGGAAGGTGGCGGTGGACATATTCATATACAGACATGGTCGCCAAACTTCGTAAAATTGGAGGATGTGAAAAGCGGACGATTAGAAAACTTCCATTCGGAAGCAAAAATGGATTAGATTTCGAAAAAAGTTTCTAAATTTAAAAAACCGTGGTTTCTAACCTTGAGGTTTCTAAAATCTAGACACTTTTTTCTAAGTTTTAGAAAAGAATCGTTTAAAATTAATTATCAAAATTGGAATTAATTTTAAGCCAAAATATATTAGGTTTATAACTTAATCTTTCCGTATTTTTTTTGGTCGATTTTTCGATTCTCTAATTTTGGTTGCAAATGGTCTATAACGTCATGAAACGTAAAGAAATGATGTTTTTAGGGGGGTGTATGTATGTATGTGTGTGCAGATTCAGGTTTTTGGTGATTCAATTTTAGAAAATTCAATGTAAATTCAGTGAAATTTGCAGCTAAAAATTTTAAATTTCGGCTCATGATAGCTATGAATAAGCCTCACTTCGGTCCTTCGTTTCAGCTCGCTCGGTCAAGTAGTTCCTGAGATATAATCACTTGTTTAAATTTCGTTTTTCCGCAATATCTCGCCAACAACTGCACCGATTTCAATTTTTTTTTCGAACTACTCGTCCCGATGGCCTCTATCTAGATCACTCATATAATATACACCGATTTGTGCAAAGGTTGGAGATATTGCCGTTTATCCCTTTTTTCATTAAAAAAAAAACTTGTACGCACGATAAGTCAATGAAAAAACGAGCTTGCGACTTGAAATTCGGTATGCTGCTAGCTTTTGTAACATAGACGGTTCATATTTTCGATGACGTCAATCGGTCGAGCGGTTCGCGAGATATTCAATTTTTTGTGAAAATCTATTCTGTCAAATATCTTGTCAACTACTTGGCCGATTAAAAATTTTCTTTTTTCAAAATATCACTCTCGATTGCTACTATCTAGATCATTGAAAATATATATACCCGTCCATACGAACTTTCGGAGATATTCTCGTTTTTCTTTTTTTTTTTGTTTTCTCATTCTGTTGCGGTTGATAACTTGTGACGGAAAAACGATATCAAGTTGACATATGGTATATATATCTCTCTCATCATACCAAAGGTCCGTACTTTAAATGGACGCCATTGGCGCAGTGGTGTGAGACAGGTTATTTTTTTGTATGTATCCATTTCAGTAAAAGGTAAAATATGTTTTTTTCCGTACTGCTTCCCACGATTTCTCGTCTGGGAATTGGTATAGCATACTTTCCACACTTGAAAAATTGAAAATCACTACGGAAAAATATTTTCCAAGCTGCCGGTATGTGTTTTTTTACTCGCGCGGTTGGTCTGCCTCACCTTTGGCTCGGCTCAATAACCCCGCGCGTACTACGTTTTGGGCGATACAGATAAACTCACAAGAAACTATTGAATCAAAGTAGAACAACAGACTTTTATTGACAAGGGAAGGGAGAAAATGAAAGGATTCTATACGTGGAAATTGACAATAAAAGATTGTTGATTCAATATTGGATTTCGTTGGTGAATGTCATTGAATGGTGATGAGTGAAATGGTCGTTTATATTTCCATATACTTCCCTTCGGAAGCTTACTACTGTGGTGACTGTGTCTCCACTACATCTCGGTCATTCACACACGCACACATACACACACTCAATTTTCCTCTTTAGACATTGGGCCAATTCTCCAATTTTCCTGTCGCAACATTGGGCCAATTCCCACATTAAAAATCTATTTCCGTATCATAAACCTCATGACCCGTTTATTGCCATAATCCTCCATGCGTCCTAATTCCTCATCATCACCTGGCGTCCATAATCCCTCCTCCGCCTGACCAGCGCCCGTAACGTCACAACGGAAATTTCCCCGTCGAGACCCCCGATCCAATCACAGCTCACCGGCGGGAACTTACAGCGCCGAACCAATCGGAAGCCAGGATTTTACTCATCCCTTCTCCAAATTTTCCACCAATCACATTCTTGCACTCTCCTTAAATACCGCACACTTTCCACACTCATCATCAGTCAATCATTCACTCGACACTCACTCATCACTCAACCACTTGACAACATATCAACAGAGAAGATAAGTCTTCTTACGACTAACTCTCCACTCCTGTAAATATTAACGTTCAAAACTCAAATATATTTCGCTCAACGTTGGATCTCGGGAGTTTTCATTAATAACCTGCTCACCTCCACAAATTGGTGACCCCGACGTGATCATAAATTGGAATCGTGGACATCGAGCAGTCAGCAACTCAGAGGACCCGATGATCTTGGAGCGAGGCGACGGTTCACCACAGCAGCAGCAGCAGAACGTGCCACCAGCAGCTCTATTTGACACGGCCAACCCCGCCTCACCTCCACCGCAGCCAGTAATGACTCCGTAATAGTAGCAGAACCTCTTGGTAGAGGGAATGGCGCAGATCAGCCGTGTAGCTCTCCAGCTAGGAGAGTTAACCCCGGAGAGGTGATGCGGCCGGCATCACCTTCGAGGCGACCAAGTTCGGACACATATGTGGCAAGCTCTCCAAGTCAAAGCACGCCGTCGGGGTGAGAGACATCATCCTCAACCCTCCAGCCGATAACCCCCACACACACCTGAAGACGGAGCTAATAAAACGCCTCAGCTCCTCTCAGGAAGAGAAGACAAGGAGACTCCTGGAGAGCGCAGAGATGGGAGACATGAAACCGTCTCAGTTTCTGCGCCACCTTAAGAGCCTGGCAGGATGCAGCTTCCCCGACGACACCCTACGGACACTGTGGGTCACACGCCTTCCCGCTGACGTCCAGGCGTTGTTGGTCACACAACGCAACGCCAGTCTCGAGGACGCCGCAGAACTCGCCGACAAGACCATCCAGATCCTAAAGCCAAGGATCCCAGCAGTCGCCCCACAGATCGCCGAGACATCTGTTCACAGCATCGAGGCACTCCTGAGTCTCAAGCTCTTCCAACTCTCCCTCACCCTCGACGAGAAACTCAATTCGATGCGAGGCGAAATCGAGAGCCTCAAACGGTTGAGCAGAGCTGACGGGGGAAATCCAGGACGGGGATTCAGACGTGGCAGATCCAGGTCACGTTTGAAGCACCGGCAGGCAGAGATCGACGGCCCCTTCTGGTACCACTGGAAGTTTGGACCCAGCGCCAGGACCTGCACGCAGCCGTGCAACTTCACCGCCGCGGGAAACGGGACAAGCAGTCACTAATGGCGCCTAGTGACTCAGGATCAACGACCCGCCGCCTCTTCGTCACCGATCAGGAGACCAAGGTGCGCTTCCTGATCGACACCGGAGCAGACCTGTGCGTTTTCCCATGGCAACTGGTGCGTGGGCCACAGCGTAAATCCACAGCCAGCTTTCGGCGGCGAACGGCACAGTCATCCCCACCTACGGCACAATCAACATCGCACTCAACTTGAGACTTCGGCGGACGTTTCCTTGGCGTTTCGTCGTCGCTGATGTCTCCAAGCCCATCAACGGAGCAGACTTCCTGTCNGCCCATCATCGGAGCGGACTTTCTGTTCCACTACGGACTGATGGTGGATCCATGCAACGGAAGGCTCGTGGACTCTCTCACCTCACTCACCTCACTCGGTCAAGTCGAAGCTGTTGACTTGCCGAACATCAAGACGGTGACAGGCACATCGCAGTACCACGAGCTTCTCCAGCAGTTCCCCAACCTCACCAGACCAGACGGGACGGGCAAACCTCCGCAGCACAATACCAAGCATCACATCCAGACCACAACAGGACCTCCAGTTGACAGCAAACCCAGACGACTGGCTCCGGACCGACTCGCAGATGCCAAGAAGGAATTCCACACCATGGTTCAACTTGGCACTGCTCAATCCTCAAATAGCCCATGGTCATCAGCACTACACATGGCGAAGAAAAAGAACGACGAGTGGAGGCCCTGTGGAGACTACCGTGCACTCAACGCACGCACAGTTCCAGACCGCTATCCCGTTCGCCACATCCAGGACTTCTCCCAGACGCTCCGGGGCAAGGAGATCTTTTCAACGATCGACTTGGTCCGAGCATATCATCAAATCCCTGTTGCTGAGGAGGACATCCAGAAGACGGCCATTACTCCCGTACATGTCGTTCGGTCTACGCAACGCAGCTCAGACGTTCCAGCGCTTCATTGATGAGGTACTACGGGACCTGGATTTTTGTTACGCCTACATCGACGATATCCTGATAGCGTCGGAAACTCCAGAGCAGCACCTCCAACACCTCAGGATCCTGTTCGAGCGACTCTAGTCGTATGGCCTCCTCATCAATCCACAGAAGTGCGTCCTCGGCCAGCCAGAAGTGGAGTTCCTGGGCTACCTGGTATCCAAAGAGGGCACACGGCCGCTGCCCATGAGTCCAAGCCATCCTGGACTACCCAACACCTCAGACAGCCAAACAGCTTCGCCAGTTCCTGGGTATGCTGAATTTCTACCGGAGATTCATACCCAGAACTGCTCAGGACCAGGCCCCACTCAACGGGCTTCTAGAGGGCAACATCAAAAGAAAAACGCCCATCAAGTGGACTCCAGAAGCTCAAGCAGCCTTTACCACCTGCAAGACCAGCCTCGCTGACGCTGCACTCCTGGCTTACCCCAAGGCCGACGCCACGCTCGCACTCATCTGCGATGCTTCCGACCACACCGTGGGCGCAGCGTTGCAGCAACAAATCAACGGAGACTGAGAGCCGCTAGCATTCTGCTCCAAGAAACTCAGCCCAGCAGAGAAAAAATATAGCGCATTCGACCGTGAACTCCTGGCAATCTACCTAGCCATCAAACACTTCAGGCACATGGTAGAAGCCAGGACGGTTCACCATCTAAACCGACCACAAACCCATCACCTTCGCATTCCGCCAGAAGGCAGAGAAGTCATCACCCAGGCAGTCCCGTCATCTCGACTTCATCAGTCAGTTCAGTACTGACATCCGCCACGTCTCGGGCAAGGACAACGTCGTCGCTGACGCACTGTCCCGCATCGAGGAAGTCACGCTGCCCCTGGACTACACGGCCCTGGCCGCATCATAGCACGATGACAAGGAGCTGAAGACATTCCTACGCACAGGGTCTGGCTTGCAACTCAAGCAAGTTCAGATCCCAGGAACAGGCGTCTTCTGTGATACGTCATCATTATCATCACCAAGGCCATTCCTGACGCCATCATTCCGCAAAGCAGCCTTCAACACCATCCACAGTCTGGCTCACCCAGGGATCAACGCATCGGTCAAACTGGCGACACAACGCTACGTTTGGCCATCCATCAAGGCAGACTATCGCGAGTGGGCTCGCTCGTGCATCCAGTATCAGCAAGCCAAAGTTACACGTCACGTGTCAACTCCAGTGGGATCGTTCGCACCACCATCATCTCAGTTCGAGCACGTCGACATGGACCTCATCATCCTCTCCAGCTCGGAGGGCCGTCGATTCTGCCTCACATGCGTCGACCGCTTCTCCCGATGACCTGAGGCATTCCCGCTGGAGGACCAGGAAGCTCACACTGTTGCCAGAGCCTTCTACGATGTTCTTCTTCGGTGTTCCCCTTCGTATTACCACCAATCAAGGGAGGCAATTTGAGTCACATCTGTTCAAGCATCTCAACAGCTTGGCAGGTACCACTCACTTGAGGACAACTGCCTACCACCCAGCAGCCAACGGCATGGTCGAGCGCTTCCACCGACAGCTCAAGGCAGCCATTAAGTGCCACGATAACTCCAGATGGACACAAGTGCTCCCCACCGTTCTCTTGAGCATTCGGGCAGCCTGGAAGGAGGATCTCCAGGCATCAGCAGCCGAGCTGGCGTACGGCGAACCCCTTCGTCTGCCTGGAGACTTCCTTGCCCCTACAGGAGTCAGCCACCAAGACGATCCGGCAGACTACGTGAAGGACCTACGCCAGCACTTCGCCGACTTGCGCCCCGCCAAGGTCAAACGCCACGGAGAACACAAAACCTTCATGTTCAAGGATCTGGCCACGGCGGAACAAGTCTTTGTCAGGCACGACGCTCCAAAAGGACCTTTCCAGATGCCCTACCAAGGACCCTTCAAGGTCATTCACCGCAACACGAAGATGTTCATCGTTCACATCAAGAGCAAGGACGTGAACGTCTCCATCGACAGACTGAAACCGGCTTACGTCATCGCTGATGACCAGCCAGGCCTTCAGCACCCCAGCCCAAGGACACCTACTCCCGAGTATATACTACTGTTTTGTGAAGTTACACAGCTCTTCCAGGCATGAAATATAGCGTATCAAAAACAGTAAGGTTTATTCTTCAAAATCGCAAACGGATGCGTAAATATTTGAATTTTAAATAAGACACCGCACTCAAAAAAAACGGAAAGATTAAATTATACGCCTAATACTTAATTTTAGAAAAAATATTTTCTAAAATCTAGAAATTTTTTTCAATTTTTGAGGAGGAATTTTGCAAAAAGGGGAGTAGTGATATCCGGGGAGGGAGGCTCGTAAAGAGGGGGGTTTTGCAGAGAGAGGTGTTTTACGAAAGCGTGGGCAATCGTTGGGGTTTTTCAAAAATATCTCCAAAACTAAAAGAAATAGTGAATTTTTACGAAAATTTGGGGGGGAGGTGGAGTTGTGCATTGAGAATTCACAATCAAAAAAACTCAGTCGGTACGTTTTTCAAAAACATCTCCAAAATTAAGAGAGATAGCAAATGTTTATTGGAAAATGAAGCGGGGGCGCGGCGGTGTTTTTGAAAAGCTCGAGGAGTCGATTTTTTTGGTTGTGAATTCTCAGTTCACATCCCCCCCTCTCTTGCCCTCTTTACAAAATCCTCCTCTCACATCTGAAATACCCGATATTTGGGCCCCTCTCCCTATGTAAAGGACTCTTACGCCTTTTAAATTATTCGGCCGCTATTTTTTAGTTCAATCTGAAAATTTTCTAAAATTAAGAAAAAATTCAGCATTGATTTATTTATTTTATTTATTTGTGTACATAGGACCAACAGCCTTAGCCAATTATAGGTCCCAAAAAGTAATATACAAAATATTGGTATACAAATATTTAAAGATAGTATCTTAAGATACCATAAGTGCAACGTAAGATTAGAATTTATCCTAGACGCGGAGAGCGTGTGTATGATAAATTTAAACCAAGGATTTGACAAGATCGATTGATTTGGATGTGATAGAGTGAAGTAAATCGCACATTAGGTCCACTTCCGGATGTTTATCAGTTAATAAATCGACGGGTCCTAATAGAAAAGGCATAACTCGGGATAATAATTTAAAAAGGACTATTTCGGAATTCCAATTTAAAAGGACCCAACTCAATGTTGTGGTTTAAAAAGATCTAATTCGATTCATCCTCCAAGAAAGCACTATCTCAGCTGAAATTTAAAAAGGCACAACTCAGGCAAACTGTTACTAAATACTGTTTAAAACCGGAACATCGTAATCTATCATATTTAAGTCAATTTTTGAAATGGCCAATATGAAATCATCTGGATAATAAGTCACTTTATGTCATTTTATGTAACTTTAATCAACGTTGTTCCCAAAAGGAAGATGAACATGTTGACGAAGAAATTGATATTTATATCGATAGGAAATTTGTAATAATTTAGAGACGGTTCATTTGAACAACTCTAAGCTGTGCAATAGTCCAGCGTGTCTAGAAGGATGGATATCGCTGGATGGGTGGTTGATAAGGGGGAGGGGGGTTTCTCGTATCCTGGGATTCAGCCAAGAGGAGTGACATCTTCGGAAATCGCGTGTAACTCTCCCTGTAAAATTAGGAAAAGTGATGAGTGATCATGGCAACTTGCAAGTAAAGCAAGAAAAGTTTACCGGAATTTATAAAAGCTCTTCAATACACGTGACATTCACTCAGTATCGCTTCCATCATCATCGTCAAATGTTTGCAATGTTTTTTGAGACCTTCGTGGTACTTTTGATTTTGACTTATCTCCTGATGATGATTTGGAGGAGATTCTCAATGACTGATAGTATGGATGATGCGCTGGGGGAATGGCATTCCTCGAGCACAAAAATAATAGGTCCTTCAGTTTTGCTTCATCAATGCCAAGATCCTGACAATACGCTTTCTACAATTCATAAGTTTTCAAGTTCAATTCCTGAGTGCGCTTTACAACGTTGATTGTCTGGTAATCTTCATTGAAGTTCATCTTAAATTTGAGTACATGCGGAGATTCAGGCCCAACGGAAATCTCCCTGATTTGAGACCAAGCAACTTTCCTCTTATTGACGTCTAAACTCCACTGCTGTCTCTTCACCAGTTCCTTTAAGTCGAAAATCATGTCTTGTGAAACCTCCGTCACAACGTACTCGCCTCCCTGTGCATCTCTTCCCTTCGCCGTCTGGATGAGTTCTCGCCATTGATCTGGTGTGTAAATTTCTTTGTCAGCAGATCGTCGTTCGATGGCAGCATACACGCATCGCCTTCGTTTTGCGTGTGTCCTTTTTCTAAAAAGTGATGGATAATTTCAACGTTGAAACGAATGGCGGCCAGTGCATACATCGAAAACACAAAACGATTGCGTTTCTGACCAGGGCAATTGTAAGAGTAAAATATGAATCGCTTCACTCCATCCCTGCTTTTCTTTCCAATATAATCTATTACGAAACTGGCAATTTCATTAGGACCTTTGTTACCGACGTTTTCTGTCCAGAGGTAACAATATCTTTCATGTGAACCACTATCATAAATAGTGAAATTGTGGACAGACAGTTTTCTTTTGTAATAAAAACGGCCACAGTTTCCCTGTGGCATTTGAAGACCCTTCTCTAGATCAAAACAGGCGACACTTAGATCACCATTTTCTTCTTTCTTTGCTTCCATTGCATCAGTCTTTTTCAGTGCTTGAGCTCGCTCTTTGTTCTCTAAATGGGTAGCGTACTGCTCCTTCATCTTCAATTTGCCATCCTCATTGAAATTTTTATATTCAACACAAGTATCACATTGGTCCTTCTTAGGCTTGAAAAATCCAATATTGAATTCAGTGTTCAAGACATCCCTGTACTGCCTCACTATCGCTGGTTCAGTGCCGTGCTCCGTCGCCCAGTCTTTATACAATGTGTGCATTTGTGGAATTGATCATTTCTCTTCAAGATACTCTCTTTTCGAGTCTTTACGAGTATAGTGTGAGTCCACACGTGGGAAGAGATTGATGTGGTCTGCGATACTCTTCTTCAACTCGGGGGTGAGTGCATCAGAACGAATTGAATTTCCTCTTCCTCGATTATCCACAGGAACAGCATTCCCACTGTTCAGAAAATATAACTTGTCTGTCTTCTTCCTTCAATCTTGTTTCACATTTGAATCGACATCCTGGCCCACAAGAAACTCCGAGTTCCCTGGTCGGCTTGAAAGTTTTCCCATCAGCAGCTAGTTGTTCTAATCCTCCATCTAGAGCTATCTTTGCAGCTTTGTACATCCATTTTGACGGATTCAACGATCTCTTCTGGGTCAACTTCTCTGGAGCAATATGGGTTCTCTTTCGTTTCACACCTACACCTGAAGGATTCTCTGGATTATTAGATTCATCACGAGAGTTATGCGCATTGAACAATAAATTCGCTGAGGGCAGTGAAGTGCTTGATGTTGTAATCTAGAAGCCTCGATACGATTATCTGCACAGCTCACTGGAGGAGAAGTCATATGAGTTGAAAGGATCCGAGAAGTAGGAATAGAAGGGGCAGGTGTAGGAGGGATTCAAGGACTCTTCCGTGACTGAATTTGTTTATTCAGTGTAGAGAAATTGGACCTGTCTTTCAACACACATGCTTCAAAACTAGGGTTTCCTGGTGTTATTATTCTACCAGAGTCCAAATCCAGCCAATCTCCCGATTCTGTAAAATATTATCTACAATTTCTAAGAAGTGCATGAGGGAGAATGAGGTATCACCATTCATTATGCCTGTTTCTCGCTGTTGGCCCTGCAAAGGAGTCACACTTGTATGTGTCAGTGTGTTGTCGTAAAATGAATGCTCGCTACCTAGCAAAAATAATATGATTCAATGACTCGTGATTTATATGAGAAAAACGTAGAAGCATAGCTAAATGTCGAGTACCGAGAAAATAATTATAAAAGTTAAAACGGATAATTATGAACGTTCGACTAACAGAAAGACAGGAGGCGATTTATTGGAAAATATGTAAAACCATATGCACTACCAAATTACATGAAAAATCCCAATGATTCACATTGGAATTAAAATTCTGTAGCTCAGACATAACAGTATCTGTACACAAATAACGTTTTTGCTCCCTGGCAATTTATTTCGTTTTCCATTCACCGTTGACATTCAATGAGCTGTCAAAGATGATAATACAATGAAGTTGGCGCAAGTACAGAGTGTATGAAATATTTCACGATTATTCCCATCTAAATTCATAAACTGATGAATTATTACTTAAACCGTATTTAGTAACAGTTTGCCTGAGTTATGCCTTTTTAAATTTCAGCTGAGATAGTGCTTTCTTGGAGGATGAATCGAATTAGATCTTTTTAAACCACAACATTGAGTTGGATCCTTCTAAATTGGAATCCCGAAATAGTCCTTTTTAAATTATTATCCCGAGTTATGCCTTTTCTATTAGGACCCGTTGAAATTTAGACCGACACTGGCCTGGTAAATGGGTGAGCACGCGGATAGATTGTTCTCCGGGAAGGGAAGGTAGATCAGGACTCGCCATCTAAGTGAATTCGGTGGAATACGTAACTGTAACTGACCCAGTAAAGTGGAACAATCAACTCTACCTCGAATCATTTTAACCATAAACATAATTGCTGTGAGCATCCTTTGCTGTTCAAGAGTGAGGTAATCGAACCTGTCGCACAGCGCCCTGTAGTCACAACCGCTTTCCGCATACACAGAGTCAACCTTCCATGACAAGAACTGAAAAAATCTCTTTTGAACAGACTCAATTTTCTTACAATAATTTTGGTACGTCGGTGACCACACAATACTGGCATAGTTAAGCTTTGAACAAACAAGACTGTCGAAAAGTAATTTGATCGCTGAGATGTTTGAAAAAGATTTACAATTGCGAACAATGAATCCCAAAGTACGCTTAGCAGTGAGAATGATACCCTCAATGCGTAGGTAAAACGTTAAGCTCCTATCGAACATGACCCCAAGGTCTACACATGTCTGTGGTTGTTGAAGTACAACATTGTCAATTGAATAATCGAAGAGAATTGGCGATTTATTACGATAATAGGAGATGCAACCACATTTGCTCGCATTCAG